TAAAAACCTTTGGATTGATAAGATTGCACAAAAATTGAAAATTTCCTGTTGAAATGCCTCCCAAACTGCCCCCAAATCACTTTAAAAAATAACTTATGAAAATAACTGGAATTACTCATTACACCATTTCTGACTTTGAGGAGGGTAAAGGGGTCCCTTTCATTTCCCAACCTCCCTCCCCTGGCATTAACAGATCAGTCTGAAGATCATTGAAGGAATTAGTGAGTTCCTTTAAATAGCATCTCATTTGTCCAAAACAGACAAGGACAAAGTTTGAGGAGAAGTCTCTGTTCTATTCTAGACACTAAGAACACTAATATGGTGAAATGACACAATTTTACTAGTAATCACTGTAATTCACAGGTCTTCTCACACACATACTCAATCCATCATGATGATGGATGTCCTGACCCAACCTCTGTGCTTATTAAATGCTAGTAAGCCGTGAACAAGCTCTGATGCTTGTCATGGGAACAAATCTATGAAGAGTGTGCACTGGGCTGGGTTGTTTCCAGAATTAGGGTTTCTCTGGAAACTTTTCCACATTGCTCTCTGCAGTGTATGCTGTGATGAGCTGATCATAATATCAGTGCAACATGCTGTGGGGTAATTCTGAACTAGTCACTCTTAATAACTCTTTGCAGACCCACAGAGGTAAAGCAGAGGCCAGGACTCAGTTGATCTTCAAAGCTAAAGCATCAGTAGCTGACTGTAATTCTCAAACCAGTCATGGGAATGGGATTGAGTCAAGCCCTATGCTGAGCATTTCTCAGGGAAGTACAATGGTTATTACTTTGTTTCTGAAAACATTCCCAAAGGGTTTGATTCTCCTTGTAGTATGTGAAGTCATATGTTTCCGTGGCCGGCATCCATAGTTTTTTGTGGGTTTTAGTTTTTAGTTTTTTGAAAGAAACTCTTGTAGAACATGGCCACACAGCCCAAAAAAACCCACAAAAAACTCCTTGTAGTAGTTTTTATGGAGTTGCAAAATCTCAGGGGCTGGCCCTGAGTCTCTGTTTTCATGGGTCATCTGCTAGCAGGGGAGCTAGGATTCTCCAGTTTTGAACACATTCTCCAGTTTTGATGGACTCAGCTCCAGGCAAGAGGAAAGGGCTATGTGCAAATCTCCAGCTGACCCAATAGACCAGCAGCTTGCTACAATTTGCAACCTTTAATTGATTTATTGCTGCAATATACAAAATTCTCTGGAAGGTTGTCTCTATATTTATCTACTTAGTTTTCTCATTCCCCCTCCAGTTGTTATGGTACCAGGATCTCTCTCTCTCACACACACCAGCTCTACTCTGTATCTACCTTCTTGCTAGAAGCAAATAAACAAATTAAAATCTAATCTCCTTAAGTAAGTGAGAATAATCCCCTCATTTCATCTTGATCTGGGAACAGCCCCTTTAGCTGAGATTTCTATCTTAATTTCTTATATATATAAAACTGTGGTTGGTACTTAATGCATAAAGCTTAATGATATCACTAAAACCCATCCCTAGGTCTCAGGTTTTGGCCTGGAAACCTCAGGGCCTTTGACAGTCCTGAACTGGCAAGCCTAGTTGTTTATGAAGCAGTAAAAGCAAGTGTAGGAGAGAAAATTGTGCTTGGACATTTAGCTGTGTTCAGTCTAAAATAGAAGCAAGAGTTTTTCAGCTCTTCTTCCAAAACAATACTGGAGGATGAATAGGGAGGGAGACTTGTAAATGTAATCACATCCATTTTACCATCATGCACAAATGTGACTATTGATCTGGGGGCATGGGGTGGGGGAGGACTAGGTGCATGTCTGATTCTCCATTGACACTGATGAAGCTTAAACATCTATGCAAATCAATAGTGTAGCCAGACAGTACAGTTCTCATCATCCATAATGCTTCCAGTGTAGAGGTGGAAACCTTGCACAAAAGGGAAATTAAAATTATGAAGTGGTTAGAGCATGATGTGTGGGTGGTGGGTGGGAACACAATAAAGTTTTATAAAATTATTAGGAAGTTTATCTTTTTTGCCTGGACTGATGTTAATAATTTACTTATAAAAAAAATGACTGATAGTAATCATCATCATCATCATCATCATCATCCTACCCTTTCACCAAAAATGGCACTCAGGGCATCTCACAACATTAAAAAACCATTATAATTAAAAATATACAAAAATAGTACATTAAAACAGAATTAAATTATAGACAAATGGTTCCCAACCATTGACTTTGTAAACAAAGACAGAAACAAGAGAAGGCAACCTCCATCTCATCTGAACCTTTGGTCGGACATTCTGGACTAGACTTACACAAAGACAGCACTGAACTTTAAAATGACCACTTAATTGCACAGAACCCAAGAAGGAGACCCGCAACACAATTCAAAGTTGTGAAATTGTTTTATTTTGCTTTATTGTTGTGACATGTTTTGTATATAGTTTTTTACTTATAATAATTTTAAAAATAAATATTAAAAAACAGAATTAAGTTATTACAATATTAAAACAAATTACATGTTAAAAGAATAAAATGCAGTTTAAAAGATAATTTTTTAAAAAATACTTTAAAACAATACAACACCCCAACCCATGCTTTAAAAACTTTCTGTTTTAAATACCTATCTGAACAGGTAGGTCTTAGCCTGCCAGCAGAAGGCCATCAAGGAAAGGGCCATCCTGGCCTCCCTAAGAAGGGGGTTCCAAAGTCTAGGGGCAGCCATGGAAAAGGCCGTTTCTCGTGTCCCTACAAACCTGAGGATCACAGAGCCCAGGCTGGTTCATAGAAGGAGATATGGTCTACTACAGGGATAGGCAACCTTTCTGAGCCGGGGGCCGGATTGCTGTCCCTCAGACAATTGGGGGCCCAAAGCACCAAAAATAAATAAATAAATAAATAAATAAATAAATAAATTTAATTTTTTTTTTAAAAAAAAGTAATTTTTTAAAAAAAATATGCATGCACACTCTGTCAGCCCCAGAAAAGCCATGGCAAAACCCCTGTGGAGATTTTGCGAAGAAAACCCCAAGAACAAGTAATAACAACAATAATCAATATCGTCATGGCGGGCAGCAGGGGGCAGCGGCAGCAGCAGGACTAGCCTGGGGCCGGTCCAAAGGCCTCGGGGGGCCACATCCAACCCCCGGGCCATAGGTTATCTACCCCTGGTCTACCAAATAGCCTGGACCTGAACCATATAGGGCTTTATAGGTCATAACCAACATTTTGAATTGTGCCTAGAAACAAACTGGCAACCAGTGGAGCTATTTCAACAGGGGCATTATGTGGTCTCTGTAACTTGCCACAATTAACAGCCTGGCTGCAGCTTTTTGAATCAATTGAAGTTTCCAAACACTCTTTAAAGCAGGGGTAGGCAACCTAAGGCCCGGGGGCCAGATGTGGCCCCATGAGGCCTTTGGACCAGCCCCAGGCCGGTCCTGCCACCGCCGCCGCCACCCCCCGCCATGATGATATTGATTATTGTTGTTATTACTTGTTCTTGGGGTTTTCTTGGCAAAATCTCCACAGGGGTTTTGCCATGGCTTTTCTGGGGCTGAGAGAGTGTGCATGCATATTTTTTAAATTTTTAATTATTTTTATATTTATTTATTTATTTATTTATTTATGGTTCTTCGGCCCCCCAATTGTCTGAGGGACAGCAACCCGGCCCCTGGCTCAAAAAGGTTGCCTACCCCTGCTTTAAAGGCATCATCCCCAAGTAGAGCACATTACAGTAGTCCATACGGGATGTAATCAAGGCATGTACCACTGAGGCCAGATCTGGCATTTCAAGGAATGGGTGCAACTGGCGCACAAGTTTTAAATGTGCAAAAGCACTCCTGATCACTGCACATGATCCTTCAATAATAATAATAATAATAATAATAATAAAACCTGGGCCTTCAGGCTCAAAACTGAGTCTAGGAGTACCCCCAAATTGCAAACCTGCAACTTCAGGGGGACTGTAACCCATTCTAACACAGGCTGAACCCCTACATTTCTTAAAATTTGTTTCTCACCTAATTTAATCTAAAATGGATTAAAATCATCAATTTTTCTGGGGGGGGGGACACCCAAGAGCACACAAATCCAAGTAAGGCTCATGTATGTAATGATACTGATCCATATTGCCACTGTTACCATGTCATGTCTGACATGACCAACCTGACCCCAGATTCTCTATATTCTGTTTCACATGATGCACCATCCTCCTCTTTAGCTCTTCCTAAAGTGTTTCATTTCCTGCTGTGGTTCCTTGTGCTTGTACACATATTCCAGCCTCTTCTACAGGAAGGAGAGGAAATGATTTATGAGCACAACAAATTCCTTTTCTTTAGTGCAGAAAGACAGCAAACAATGGCTCTACAGAGCTCCTCCAGATTAGAATCATCTCTCTAAAATGGGCAACATTCTTACAATTTTTTTTATTTCTCCAGTCTTTCCCCTTCCTCCCCAAATCTCTCTCTCTTTTTAGAAACATACAGTCAGATATCTTGAGTTCTATCTTAGTTCCAAATAGAACAACTGTATCAAAGGTATCAAGAGTATCAAAGTATTAAGGCTGTCATACTTTGGCCACATCATCAGAAGACAGGAATCATTAGAAAAGACAATAATGCTAGGAAAGGTAAAGGGCAGTAGAAAGATAGAAAGACTGCATGCCAAATAGTTGGACTCAATCGGAGAGTCATGGGCCTGGGCCTGGGCCTGCAGCACTTAAGCAGAACAAGGGAGGACAGGGGGTCTTGGAGATGTCTCATCTACAGAGTCATGATGAGTTAAAGTTGACCTGAAGGCAGTTAACAATATTAATCAAAGGCTACTTTGATTATTACTTGTGGATACTGCTTGTTGTCATTGTTGTTGTGTGCCTCTGAGTCATTTTTGACTTATGGCAACCCTAAGGTGAACTCATCATAAGGTTTTCTTGGCAGGTTTCTTCAGAAGGGGTTTGCCATTGCCATCCTCTGAGGCTGACAGAGTGTGATTTTGCCCAAGGTCAACCAGTGAATTTTTGTGCTCGAGCAGGGATTTGAACCCTGGTCTTCAGAGTCATAGTGGAATGCTCAAACCACTACACCATGCTGGCCCAAAAAAAGAAATGCAAAGAGACACAAATTTGCATGAAATGTGCACATATTAATTTATAGATATATATGTAAAATTTAGAAATAAATACTGAATTGAATATAAATACTGTATAACACAACTCATTCTACTGAGGAAGACTAATTAGAACACTTGTCTGGCTACTATTTTTGCTTGCTAGGTACTAATTGTAACTATTAAAGCCCCTCATCTTATCTCACATAGTTCTCATCGTTAAAATGGAGGTTGTATGAATGGTCCTTCCAATAGAAGGTGCCTTCAGCCAGAGGACTGTCCTCTGTATATATTGCATCAGTAAATGTGGGGCATTTGATATATAACTTAAATACAAAACATATAGAAATTTCATTTTGGCAGACTCTGAAGCACACATAATCAATTGCATCTCAAGGTTTCCACTTGTCCTATTTTGTCAGGGACCTCAGAAATGTTATTGTTGTTTTTTAATACTGGAGGGCATCAACATTGGCAGCCAAGTCATTATTAATTTTGATAATTTACAGATACATTTTTACAATGAAAAACACAGAATATGTTGCATTAAAAACTATCATCATTGTCTGCACGCCTCAACCCCAATCCACAGCTTCTCAGGCCCTGGAAGGAGCGCTAAAATAGCGCTCCTTTTGCAAGGCGCCGAAGGTGCACCGCAAGAGGTGTTGGGTGCACTTTTGGCATCTCTTCCGCTGCAGCATGTGCTGACGCTGCGGAGGAAGTACGTTATCGGAGCGCCCGTTGTGTGGAGTGACGGGCACTCCGATGACATTTTCTGGACGGCGTTGGGGTGCCCAGCGTGAGGCTGTCCCTCTCCTTTCTTGCTTCCAAGATGGCGCAAAGAACCATCTGCTTCCCCCCCCTTAGATTTGCATATGTCACTAACAAGACCACCACAACAATATTATATTATATTATATTATATTATATTATATTATATTAT